GAGTGGAATACAATTGCTGAATTAAGGTAGGGAGGAGAGAGAACAGGGGACGGGCACTGGGCCTGTTTCCCATGCAAAAGGAGAGGCAGAAAGACGTGAAAATCCCCAAAGAAGATAGAAAAATCAAGTTATTTGGACTTAGAAATACATAATTTCACAAACCGACCTAATAATAATGTATTTCATATTCAATGATCTTTAGTTAATTTCTTTTTTTTTTTTTTTTTTTTTTTTTTTTTTTTTTTTTTGTCTTTTGTCTTTTTTCTGTGTCCGGCAACAGATCGCAACCCTCAGTGTTGCCCCCGTACCGGACCGGGGACCGGCAACGGGATTGCAACCCTCGGTGTTGCTCCCGCGCCTCGCTCAGCCAGTGAGCGGGAACCGGTCTGTATGTGGGATCCGAACCCTCGGGCGGGAGTGCCGCCGTGCTTCCCAAGCGGCGCACTATCCAGTGCACCACCAGGCCGGCCCCAGATCTTTAGTTAATTTCTAAGAAGATCTTAGCCCCTCTGAATGTTAGAACAGTCATTTCAGCCCCTTCACCCCGACTTCAGCCCTGTCCTGCTGGGCCAAGGCCACCCCCAAGATGGAGGCAGAGCTGCAGATCTGCTGTGGGTGGTGGAGGGAGGTGTGGATGCTATCAGCTCACTTTTTTGTTTTCTATTTGTATGGAATTAGTGAAGCAGACTGGCATGCATTAGGATCATGTGGAAATCCCTGTTCCTGCTATAAAGAAGCAATTTTTAGGAATAAAATATCTGAAATTAAGAGGAAAATGCCATGGCTTAAAATACTTCCATATCGTTTCAACCAGGAAAAAATTGTGGAACTCATTGTCCCTACCATAAAAAAAAAACAGACAGTAGAAACTTGGTGACTCCACAATGTACTCTTTCTGTTGTGGACTCTGCAGGCTGGTGGTTGTGCCAGGTAAGTCTCGGGGCCTGGCAACCAGGATGTCTGATTCTGAAATGGAAAATCACTCTTCAAAATGCTCCCCAAGAGCAGCATGTCTTTTTCAGTCCCTTACAGACTTCCGAGAAAAGGGAGACAGAGCGAGACAGAGAAGTGCCAACCACACCTACAGCTGTCCCTGTACCCGGGTATCACTGACGGTGGACTGTCCGGCTCAACAGCTCAGCCTCAGCGGCACCGCTGCTCTGCATTTCAGAGACTGATATCAGGGTGACATTCAGAACTAAAGATTAATTTAAGGGGTGGAGATTACATCTTGGAATCTGTCAACCAGAACTGTGCTCTTTTAAATGAAAAGATTTATTTTCATCTGTACTGATTTTAGTTGGTATATTGAGAATGCCTCAAAAAAGGGAGGTGAGATAGTTAAAAAGAATCCCTAGAATCAACCTTCCAAATCCCTGTATTTGCAAAACCAACAATAGAAGGAATATAAGTTGTTACCTAGGAGTTTCCTACTAACCCCTCCATATGGCATAAGTTCCTCCATGATCAGCTGTAACTACACTGGGAGCCATGCTCCCTGGCGTGTGCAGTACACCTTTTCACGCTGTTTCTCTCCGTCCCCAGGGCCTGCCCCATCCTTCCTCCCCAACCCTGCCCATGTCTCTGCTCATGTGTCTCCTCCCCCTCTGCCTGTCCAAGGCCCCTGGTCATAAAGTGCCTGCTCAAATGCTCCCCTCCTCTCTGAAGCCACCTAGGCCTTCCCAGATCTGAATTCTTCCTCCAGTCACCTGCAGCCTCAGTGCTTGTGGCGTGCACCTGTGCTGTGGCACCGATCACAGCAAACTGGAGCCTGTTCATGCAGAGCTACACATGCGAACAGACTGTGGCCCTTTAAGGACACTATTTCTCATCCACCTTTTTTATCCCAAAGCCAAATATATGGATTGAAGACTGCAGGGAAAAAAAGGTCTGGAAAGAGAAGGTTGAGCAGCCTCGAGCTACTGAATGAAGAGCTGATCTGCCAGGGAATCTCCTCCTTGTGCAGGACCCAGACCAAAGGGCAACAACGAAACCACTCGATTCCACCGGATGGGGCTACAAGGCACCCAAAAGGACGACTGTGCCAGGGAATCTCCTCCTTGTGCAGGACCCAGACCAAAGAGCAACAACGAAACCACTCGATTCCACCGGATGGGGCTACAAGGCACCCAAAAGGACGACTGTCCTTTGTAAATCTGCCAGGAGAGGGATCCAGGATAACAACTTAACACTGTCTGGGAGGGATGATGTGCGGGGACTGAGGCAAGTGGGGTTACAGGACAGTAACTGTCACCTGGGAGAGGAAAGCTCGGGCCGTCACAGGCCCCGTTTAGACAGAGGCCACAGCAATCATTCCATGGCCCTGCATCCTGTGGGCTGGACCTGTGCTTAAAGTCACTTCCTCACCTGGAGTCGGAGACCCACCTGCCGGCCGTGAACGTGGATGCAGATTCTCTTGCGCAATACCAGCTGCATGTCGGCCGGGTGGCTGAGCTGGACGGTGACACGCACGATGAGGAATACGCGCTCGTCGGCGGGCGAGCCTCTGCTGAGCTGTGGGCAGCTGTGCACGGCCGAGTCCCAGGAGGCTTCCGCCTTGGCCTGCATGGAAGACAGGGACAACACTTGCCCCTGTCCTCCCACACACAAGGAACTCCTTGAGGACATTGCCCTGGCTTGGGCTGAGGGCGCACCTGCCAGTGCTGAGCTGAGTTCTACTCCGAGAGTGGCCCTGAAAGGTGACAGGGTGGGGGATGCACCACTGTCTCGTGTAGCATGTACAGAGTGCGCTGCTCCTGGCTGGCTCATTTTCAGATTTTTTATTTTAAAAAACGTTCAAATGTCAAGTTGGAAAATGCCGTACAGTGAACTCCTGTATACCTTTCACAAGACCCAGCAACCGTTAACACCTGGCCGCTTCAGCCTCTCTCCTTCTCACCAGGTACACACACACATTATTACTGTTTTTGCTGGACCACTTTTGAGGAAGTTGGAAACAATTATCACATTCAGAAAATTTAACAGTAATACCAGAGTACTGCTTGATATAAAATCCGTGTTCAAAATTTTCAATTTTCCCAGCCATGATGGCAGATCGCATCTAGTTGTCAGGTCCCTCCACATGCACCTGGAATAGCTCTTTAGCCTCTTTTCTGGGCTTGACCCCGGTGAGCAGAGGCTGCCAGCCTGCTGTTCTGGAGAATGCACCAAGGCAGGTGGGTCTGACTGTTCCTCATCACTAGACTCAAGTTCTGCACCTTAGTCAGGACACCACTGGGGTGATGACGTGTCAACAAAGCATCCCGTCAGCTTTCCTTCCTGAGAGTAGTTTAGGATATAATTTTCCAAACATACTAACCATTAGAGAATGAACCCCATGATATGCCCATCTCCCAGATTCCACCACTAAAGTCACCACATGGCCTCCATCTATTCTTTTTTCCTCTCTAAGAAGTCATGCTGCTGTATCTCCACATTCTCAGCGGCACCTCCTTCCACTCTCACTGGCCGAGGGGCAGAGAATCAGGCTGGTGAGCTGCTCCCACCAACTCAGATCCTCCCCAGGAGAGCAGGTAAAGGGGGACAGCCGTGATCTGATGTCCAGGCTCCTTTCCTCCAGGCGTCATATCCTGAGAGGTTTTCATGCACGTATTGAGGCACGGAAATGACCACCTCGCCCTAGCTGATTGTTTCAGAAGTCCTGCAAGGTGGCAGAAATCACTTACCTCTCCATCGTGCTGCTTCACGATCTGCAGCTCAAAGAACTCCTCCTCCTCCTCCCCGGTCAGGGTGGCGTCCCATCCGCCCGCCTCCGGGTCATCAAGATTATCCTGAGAGCTGAAATCATCGGCTGAAAGCCAAGAAGTTACATTAATGCTGAGATCATTTTAAAAGATAAGCCCTACCAGCTAAATTTCAGTGTGCTTATTACTAAAATTCTTCTGTTTCCAATTTCATTTCTATTGTGCTCTGAAATCTTACATGACACTGATGGTGTCCCTTTACAAGTTCACAGATCTTAGAGATAGAAAGTCCCTCAAGAAATGATCTTATCCTTTATGCCTCACTTTACATGGAAGGCACATGAAGCCAAGATACCTAAGAGGTTACCCGAGGTTGGCTCATAAACGTTAATGATAGGATTGTAACCCAAACTCCCTACCCTTGCAGTGCACTAAAAAATGAGAAAGAAAGAGTGCTTCCAGTTATCTGACGTTAAGTTCAGCACAGGGATCAGCCGGCTAACAAGCTGGAAACTGGAGGCCCACGACCTGGCCCTGCGATTACTGTTCCACTCCCATCCACCTTCAGCTATAAGCAGCCATCGCAAGTACCTCTTCTAGAAAGTGGGCTTGGGCGGACCAGGACTGATCAGCTCCTTGGACGTCCAGACTACCAGGTCTTCCTTCAGCTTACCTTTCTCCGTTCTCCTCCGCACTGCCCCCACCCCCTGCAACCCCCACGAGCACTGCACCTGTCCAGGAAGCCTAAGATAAGAATGGGCTAGAGTTACCCTCAGTCCCCAAGGTCCCAGAGAACAATGAGGCAGGATGAAGACTTGTGGAGGTACTTAAAAAACAAACTCCCACCCACCCATCAGGTGGAGAGACAGCAGGCGTGGCTCGGGATTATTCTCAGACTCTGTATGTGTGCAAAAATCTTCCATATGAATGAGCTTGTGGCACAAGATACTAAATCCCTCAGATACTGCAACTCACTTTCAGCTCAGGGGAGGGCAAGGGCTGAGGACATCCCAGCCTGCCTGCTTAGGAGAGTGCATTTATTACCGAGCTCTTCTGCAGGTATCTTAGGAATTTAACTGCTGACTTTTAACTTATTTTTAGCTCCTTCATCTGCCTTCCCATTTTCTATTTTCCCTCTTACAGGGAGGGTATATACAAAACATGTCCCGATCCAAAACATTTTACCTGGGGGGACGGAGGGGGTCAGAGAAATGACAGTTATTTTTTTAAAAAGAGGCAATGCAGGGATGGATGGCACAAGAACTTGCAGAAAAGTGAGAAATGTGTCCTGTAACAGTAAGAAAACACCAGAAAAAGAAAACACAGTGCGTAAGTATCGCTAGTTATTAGCACTTTCCAAAGAGAGTCTTTCCCTAAGAATTAAAGAGGAAAATATTTCCAGTGCAGAAAAGCGTTGCGGCCACCCTAAATTGTTGGGAGAACGAGGCACACGCAGTACTGCGAGCTGCAGCAGAGAAACGGGAGAAGGCACCAAGAGCAGACACACCTACCACTGCTAGGAAAACACGACCCTCTCAAGAGAACCATCAGAGCACGCGGGGAACTAACGCCAGCCTTAGGGTGACAGAACTGCCTGACAACCTGCTTGGCTGGAATCTGTAACCGAGGCACCACTCTGTCAGAGGTTAGCCTTCAGAAAACATTTTCTGACTTACCATTTAAGTCAAGGAATATAACAGGAATGTGGGTTTCCATCCCAGGCACTGGGAACTAACGCCAGCCTTAGGGTGACAGAACTGCCTGACAACCTGCTTGGCTGGAATCTGTAACTGAGGCACCACTCTGTCAGAGGTTAGCCTTCAGAAAACATCTTCTGACTTACCATTTAAGTCAAGGAATATAACAGGAATGTGGGTTTCCATCCCAGGCACTGGGGTCCTAAAACGTGAAGAACAAACAGCATCTCAAATAAAGCGGGCCTGCTCAGCATGTGCGGAGCACAGCCCTGGCGCACACTCGGGGCCGCTGCAACAGCAACCACGGGCCCTGGTGGTGCCATGAGTTAACATCTGGGACGCGCAGACTGAAGTGCCGCCTCGGATGCTCTGACACCAGGACTTAGTCTTGTGAGATGCACATACCTGTTTAAACCTACTTTCTTATAAAATGATATACTTAAGGGTTCCCTCTGGCTTAATTTACTGTTTTTAATTTTTGTAAATTGGCACAGAACAGCTTGAGCCAGTATCAAAACCAAAAATGCGTGGAGATGCAATTTTCTTATGACCGAATAGTCTTTTAAAGGAGTGACCCCAGTCATTAACATATTAACTACTTTTTTAATGCTAAGTGCAATGGTACTAAATATTGATTTAGGTTCTGAGAAATCTTAATTACTTTGGCCAATAACAATATTATTTAATAAAACACTTTCAGGCCGTGGTTATGCAACTCATGAAAATAATTTAAAAGTTCCTTTAATTCAAATGACTTTTCCCCACATGCAGTTACAACTCCTCCTCTAACTGCAGCAGACACGGGACTCATACTGAAAGCAGGCTGCTTGGTGGGCACCGGAACTCCACCAGACACACAGCAGGGCTCATACCACTCTGCTGGGGCCCCCGGAATGCCACTGCCAGCCGAGGGGACCATCACCGCATTCCTCTCCTCAGTCAGGGTCAGCCGCATCTCCAGAAGCTGTGCTTCGCGGTCAGCATCATCCTCTGTTTTATCTAGAACATCACCAGGACGTGGGTTCAATGTGGAAATCTTGCTTGCTGTTTATACTTGTGTCTCGAGCAAGACTGGATTTGCCAGTATCTGCATGACTGGTCGCTGAGTGCTCACAGTGGTAAAAACTACCTACGAGCCGGGGCGGTGCGGTAGGCTCTTTTAGAGGCCACCTCCAGCTCTCGGGAGCCTGCAGCAGGACAGCGCACGCATGACTCGGTTCAGAGTCAGGGGACAGAAGTGTCAGCCCTTCCTTCTGGTCACCTCTGAGGGACCAAGTTTGCCTCACACGCTGTATTTTCTTTGCTGGGGGGAGCGAGGGTCACCAAAACAACTGTTACAAGTAAATAAATGTTCTTTGAAAGGGTGACACCAGCAAGGGACAGCCCTCACACACTGCTGTTGGCCCCGTAACTGGTGTGTTCCTCTGGCAAGAATGGGGTCAGTCACGTGCTGACCCGGGGAGGGAGAAACGGTCACCTCGCTCTTCCTACCATGCTTACTGACGAGCTTCTGCAGCTGCTGATCCAAGTACTCCTGGCGTTTTGTTAGTGCATTCAGCCATTTTCTGCGCAGTCTCTCCAAATCCCGGTCCTGGAAGAGAACAGGAAATCGCATTCAATGTCATGTTGAGACAACGTACCAGACACTGGCACCCTGTCCCACCCTCCTGGCGCACTGTGAAGATGTGAAGCACTGTGCGGTCCCCTCCTCACTACCACCGCCTGCCGACTCCATCTGTAACTCAGCTCAGAACATGAAGCACCGTTTCCAGAGTGAGTGCTTCTGTAAGGGTGGACTCTGTGAAGCACTGTGCGGTCCCCTCCTCACTACCACCGCCTGCCGACTCCATCCGTAACTCAGCTCAGAACATGAAGCACCGTTTCCAGAGTGAGTGCTTCTGTAAGGGTGGACTCTGGTGTCCAGGACCAGCTTTACTTCTAATGGCTCAAGGGGCAGAACTCCAGGCACTTGCAACAAAGACCTTCTGAAAGGCCTCATTGTTAGATAAAAGTCCCAAAAGTGCTGAATAATCTTCATGTTCACATGCCTTACAGCTGTCAGAGAACACTTCATGTTCTGTAAGTACTGCTTTCTACCTGTCTCACTAGGCCCCTGAAGACGACCCCGTGTAACTGCTTCTCTCCCCTATTTTTGTGCATTCTGGGGTGTGGGGCGAGGGGGCAGGGCTTGTTAGGGACAGACTGAGCACTCTGCCACTCGACACCTGCACACCACCACCTTACCAGGTTTCCTTTTCTAATAGAGTTATAGGCTGGCAGGACAGTGGAATGCTGCAGATGTCCTGTATCTGGGTTTCACTAGGTCACTTAACCAAATAGCCTGTGACGTTCTGGTGGACAAGATGGGGAAACTTGCAATGCATCTACTTGAGCAGAATCACAGAGGAACCAAACATCACATCCAAACAGCAGTGATTAATGTCAGCTTAGAAGTCTCTGCTGTTGTGTCCCAGGACTGCGTCTAATCCTAACTGACACGATGTCTTTATCAGTGACTCATGGGAGGGCAGACATTTCTATCCAATTAGAATGATGCAAAACCAGGAGAGTGGCTGCAATGGGTGACATCATTAGGCTCCAGAGAGCTCTGACAGTCCTGAATGATGACTAACGAGATGCAACTTCACAGACAGAAACAAAATCTTGCAGAAGATTAGCAAAAGAAAAGACGAGAAAAAAATTAAAACGCACAAAACCCCCATTTGACTACAGGAAGTGGGGAAAGGAGACCTGGCTTACAATATGAACAACACCCGGGGCTAGACCTAGGACTCGGGACAATTCTACCAGGGCCAGTGGGCAGGGTCTCTACTCAAGGACAGAAAAGCCCAAGGGAGAGAATCGTTTGGGGGCCTGGATGGGGAGCTCCTGGCTTGGAGAAAAGAAACCGTCGCAAGTGATCTCCAGCTCTCAACACATCTCACGTTAAGGTTTCATTGTTCCCTACTCTGTTTTACTTTCAGGAAAGGCAATATTTGAATAAAAATTAACTGTTTAATTATTAAGTAACAGTCTAGTAGGATCCAGGAATGTGTAAGCAGGCACTTACTCAAGCTTATTTGATGAGGCTAACAGGTGCTAAATTACCTGGTAACTGTCCATGTCCTCTTCTTCCTCCTAAAAGAAAAAACATATTATGTAGAACTGAAACTATGATTCACCCAAGAATCAGGCTATCTGAATCTTTCCCCATAGTTTACATTCTCTAATTTGACTGATAGACTACTTTGTCTCCCAGCAACCCTTACCCTTACTCCAAGTTTTACAGTTGCCAGGAAGTTGGAGAAAAACCTGGAGCTTCTCCCAGGGAAGAGAAGAACACACTCATTTGACCTTTTCGGGAACCAGAACAATACTTTCCCTGCTGGGTTTACAGTCCCGCTCACCAGGGGAAATCAAACACCTGCTGGCAAATAGTCTTTACAGGCACTGGGGGTTCTGCAGAGGGTGGGGTGATGCCAGGAGGTTAATCACCATTAGGCACTGTGGGGTTCGTGGAGGCTGAGATGTTTTAACCCTCAGCTTGCCATGTATCAGGGCACAACCAATAACAGTCTGGTGCAGTGATCTCATGCAAATACAACACACCAAAAAAAGACACCGGAGGAAAACGACGAGATAGATACTGAAAGAACTGTTCGGTGAAAGCAGTTTTCTCACAGCTTCTGAGTGACTCTCTGGTCTGGCTTTGTCTTTCAACAAGAATATGACAGGCACCGAAACTTACATGGAAGGTCTCCTGAGTTTTGGGAGATCTGAGTGGTCTAACTTTTACACATCCGATGCCAACAGACAATATACATTCTTCCATCAGTGGTAAAGTCCCAGATTCCTGCACAGACTTCACTTCAACTCGAACTCGCCGTGATTGCCCCTGGATCACAGACAATTTTAACAATCTTAAATTCAGTTTCTTGATTTCCAAAAATTTGGTTTAGGGAGACCCCTACAGGCTGATGTTGGTAAAATGCTTAACTCTGGAGACATGGTCTCACCATACCTCATAAATGTTAAGTACTAAAATACAGACTCAAAAACTAATCGGGAAAAATTATTTCCCTTTTAAGAGGGTAGAAAGACACAGAATAAATACATGACTTACATATTTTTACAACAAAAAGAAACTGAAAGAAAAATTGTAACAAAGGAAAGGTAAACGGCTGGCCAATAAGATATGTTCAGCTTACTGATAATCAAATAAACACAGACTAAAATGAGCATGACACACCTTCATTTTCACTTACTAGACCAGCAATTATCTTTGAAAGGAGCAATTTCCAATACTGCCCGAGGTTTAACAGGCAACTTCTTACACTGTAGGTGGGAATCGAAATTGGTGCAAGCTTTCTGCAGGGCAATTTATCTTAAAAATATAAGTATCCTTTGACCCAGCAATTCAACTTTCTAAAGATATGTTCTAAATAAATAATTATGTATATACAAAAAGAAATCTTAAAGCCCTGTTAAAAATAACAAAAAAAAATAGGTATAAATGTATACTACTAATAACTATTCAAGTAGTTATGTGGTATATATATATATATAATAAAACACTATATAGTCATTAAAATATTACTGTAGAAAGACATATATAACACATTAAGTGAAACAGCAGATTATCAAAGGAGGTACATACAGTAAGATCTACTTTTAGAAATAAGCAATCAGAGTTAAAAATAAAAAAAGACTACTGCTGTCTTGGAATCACTGCCCTAATCCCAAAATAAGAACGATTCTAAATCAAACTGCAAAACGAAGAACTGATCAGAAAGAGCTGTTCCTTCTTAAACACATTTTCATAATAAATACTACAAGACTTTGTATATGGACAGTGAAGTAATATTTTAAAGGGCAATTCCCAATACTCTCAAATTACTGACTTCAAACTCTAAATCAAACTGCAAAACGAAGAACTGATCAGAAAGAGCTGTTCCTTCTTAAACACATTTTCATAATAAATACTACAAGACTTTGTATACGGACAGTGAAGTAATATTTTAAAGGGCAATTCCCAATACTCTCAAATTACTGACTTCAAACTTGGTTTATAAATTTTAGGGAGGTAAGACAGCATTTGAAAAATGGAATTTGAATATTCGATTTCAAGTCAATTACTCTTGCCCTCTTCCATCAGATTTTAGTTCCCATAAGCTTTGCAGGACCAGGAAAATCCACTCAGGCAACCCTTGATCCTATCAAGCTACATTTGGATGGATGGGATACAGATGTCCTTTGATTTAATATCTTTCAAGAACTGTGCATCAGATATTTTGTGGAAAAAGTCCCTCAGAAAACATTTTTTTTTTTTGACCAGTAAGGGGATCACAACCCTTGGCATGGTGTTGTCCGCACCACGCTCAGCCAGCGAGTGCACCAGCCATCCCTACACAGGATCCGAACCGGTGGCCTCGGCGCTACCAGCGCCGCACTGTCCTGAGTGAGCCACGGGGCTGGCCCTCAGAAAACATTTTAACAGTTTCGTCATTTCAATGACCTACCTTTTGTTTGTTTATTTTGCCTAAGACAGCAAATGACCTATTTGAATGCGTGCCCAAGTAAAGAGAGAAGAGCCATGATAAGGAGAGGTAAGAAAAGGAGAAAATGGATCCAGGCACAGCTGGCTTGTGGTTCCATGGAAAAGCTTTGAAAAGTATACTTAAAGT